CCATTCTTGTTTGAGTGGATGCTCGTGGATATGCAAAAACAAAATATTCTCTGTTGCTCCGTTTCGCCAACTTCGGACAAACGAATTGTGTGTTGGTTTCGGACTGCGACCGGTTGAATCTGCCAACGAATCAGTGATTGAACAAAGCAGTTGAGTATATATATCAGGGATCGCTAAGGATAGGATGGATGCACAATTCACCATCTATCCGACATAATTGTCCTAATATCGGGATCACGAATCAAGGTCAGCGGGATTGAGGTCCAGTGGACATCGGATGTGATTTAAGGTCAAAGCAAATTAGATACCGTTATCATCATGCGTATCCGCAAGCGAACAAACCGTTCGAAGTTTATCAGTTATGTTTTCCATGGTTATCTGTATTTGTCACTCCTGGTTTTTTTCAATATCAACAGATTAGCCCAAAAGTATATTCCAACAAACAGGCTTTTATCTGTCGATCAGGGTGATCATCGATGGGAAGCATTCCAAACAAGACGCGTTGGTAAATATATGTCGGTTTTCAGAGACACGGAACAGAACACGCCTTGATTGAAAACGGAGTTGATGTGTCTGTGTCCGTGCCGGTGCGTATACCAGGAACAGGGCCGAAATTGAACGAAGACGGGATAAGCATTGGAAAATCAGTAGTGGTTAGCGATCATTAAGCAGAGACAACAGTACTTTGGCTTTCAAATGGATAGGTTTGAGTTCGAGTCCCCAGGATGAAGGGAAGAAGTGCGGAAAAATGAACGTACTACTAACGGAATGGAAATGAAATAAGTTTTACTGTTCATTGTCAGCTATTCCAGATTAAACCAGAAATTTTTCTACACATTTTTGTATGATCAACAGCAGACAGCAGCAGGCACCACCATAGTCACGAAGACTTCCTGACCGGTGACGAAAACCGGTATCCCAAGCCCCGGGACTTGGAGTGGCGAACCGCATAAAGCCTCACTATTTTAAGCGCGATATTCAACCGGACGACAGCAAACCTACCACCGAAGAGATGCCAGTTTAGTGAGTTGGTTGGTATCATTGAATGAGGTGTGGACTATATAAAACAACTCGGGTAATGTTTCTACGAGGTATTTCCGTAGTCTTTGACATGTATGTTTCAGCATACACTTTTGGTGATTACGAGGCCCAATTAAAAACGGTGAGTAATGTAGGGTAAATTTTCTGTGTTGTACCCCAAAAACTGTTTTCCTTTGCACTGTCTGATAGGCAGCGTTCTTGCGCATTAATATACCGCCAGTGCTCCGGTATTCTCAAATTGACTTGTTTTTACCACGGATGCAAGCATCTTCCACGAATGAAATGAAATAGCAAATAAAGAGTTGAGGTTTTATCACTGTAATCCGTCTTATCCCGGTTCCCTAAACAAATTACATTCCAATGAAAATGAAAATGAAATGACTCAGAGTAAAGGATCCTTTCCTCTGAGCCTCGAGAAAGGTTACCCACGGTAACCGAAATGTCGGAGAATACGATTATTTACCGACGTCACTGTGTTATTAATATTATAACATTCACAACAAAACACAATACATGGCGCGTTGATTTTTCGATACACTCCTGAAATCATTTGATATATCAAAAAGAAGTTATTGTTTGTTTCTTGTCAACCTGCAGATACCAGGGTCTGTATATTGGTCTTATTATTTATTATGACTATTAGTAATTAAGCTTTCAGCTATTTTCCGAAAGTAGAACTTATACTCAACTTAATTCTTTCAAAGTCTTTTTTCAGTCTTTTTAAAACTGGAAGAATTCGTGTTTTACCATCCAACGTAGGACTGTGGAAATTGAGGTTTAATGCCAATCTTATTTCGATTCTGATGTCATATGTAATTACACGTAGGCACACATTTTGACCACATGCTGAACCTGTTTATGTTGAAGGGGTAAGATACCCGAAAGGGAATTTCAGGAGATGCTGGTTTAAACCCACGTCCATGAATAGTATCCTTCCAGATAATCATCGATCGATCCGAATTAGTGTCAATTGGTAAACCGTGTAATGCTATCCGATAAAAAATATTACACAAGACGTCTTTATTGATGAGCAGATAGACGAATTAATTTGCGCTGTGATATTTCTAAATTTATTCACATAGAAATTGGGTGTTATCGTTTTAGAGGCTGTATGCGATGGCTATGCGGGGTAGACAGTTCACAAACTCCACACAAGAGAATCGCAAGTGGTCTGTTCCGGTCGCACAGTTCCCTCTTCCATTTCGTTTTCATTTTGCAGGGTGATAAAGCAACAGACACTTGTCGTAATCCTGTTCCGTCGTTAATGCAGAAAAGTGGGCGTATCCAACACCTTCATCGATTGATCTTTGAAGCTAGTAGCTGGAATAGAACTATATACAGTCCCGTTTGAGATAACCGATTGGTTATTCTGCCGTGGCGGCTAGGAGTTTCATAACCGGCTAATTCATTCAAACTACAGATCCCAACCAGGTCGTTGGTATGATATATCATTCTAAACTCTGGAGCTTTAATCATTCAATATGCTCCACAAAATGAAAACTTTCGTGTGAATGAAATCTATTTTTGTGCTCTTTACATAATTTTTAGTCTAACCCCTGATAATTGAGGGATAACTGGATAGTTAATATGCCTCGGTACTCTTTAGAAATGCCATGTTTTCCAGCGGTTTTCAAGTTCACACCGCCAAACCTACTGCGGTCAACATTTGTATAAATTGTGTAAACTTCTACCGCTCACATTTCAGTTAAACATGTACACATGGTAGTCAAACTAAATAAAATATAAAATTCCGTATAACATGCTAGATGAAGAATGTTGCAACAGTTTGTTCTATTTACAGAAATTCTAACATAATTCATCAGCAATCTGCCCCTCATTGGTTAGGAGTTGGGCCATATCTGGTACAAGGTTAATACGAGAGAGCAGTTACCGAAAAGAGGAGCGTGTGGACGGATGGTACGGATGGTATGATAAGAGGATAGATCAGGCTGCAATAGATGAAGAGGTTCTTCTGGTATCTTAATGGTTAATTTAATACAAGAGTTGATTTGACCAATAATAAGTTCTCTGAGTAACTAATCCACGGGTATCAACGATACCCGAGTGATTACCCTAAAACCACGACGAGTGGTTTTGAAGTCTTGTCTTAAAAGGTCAGGAAACACTACCGGGGAGCAGCAGAGAAGAACGAGGAAAACATTTGTAGACAAAAACGATGAAGCTGGTCGTGGGGTTCGGAACTGCCTGAATTTGCATAGTTCAATAGAGAGGCAACTCAGTTTCCTCACTCAATTGTAAATGTGTGTACCACCGCAGATTACTGTCGATGGTGACAACCAGGTACTTGACAGAGATCACTGTAGACACAAGATCACAGTTAAGTGTGGTAGAGTCCGTTGGAAATGAAGAGCGGGAAAACTGAAGATGCACCACAGGCACTTGGATGTGTTAAAGCTAAAACCAGATTGGTTGGAAAACTGGTGGATGTGGAATAGATTTTCAGTGAACAAATCGAAAGATATCGTCAGCATACTTTGATGTGTGTAGGGAGTGGAACTGAAAGATCACCAATCAAAACAGAGATATGGAGATGGAACAGCCCGTTGAAGCACATGGGCATTATTAACTAGAGGTTTTAATGTAGTCTTGCCCTTGAAATACGGGAACTAAGGGACGGTAGTGATGAGGCTCGAACTGACAACTTATCGTGCCATTTATTGATGATCGGTGACGAAGGACGGGGCATTTTGTTGATTGAATGGATTGACTCAGTTGCATCAAAACCAATTCGTTGAATCGCAACTTACTCTCTCTCTCTCTGTAATTATTAATCGTAATTCAATGTATGCAAATCGATTCTCCGGTATTTTTCCATTTTATTTCACCGAAAACGAAATGTAAACTGCCTGCTGCTGAGGAAGATTTGGAAGTGGTTTGTTTGTGTGCGTAAGTGTGTGTCAATGTTTGTTGACAAACACCTACTCTACCCGGCTCCAAAATCAGTGATCGTAGCCCTTTGCTGGAAACTAGCTCTGCTCTTGTTGCCTATTGAGTAATAACAAGGTAATTAATTGACTTGCGCACGAACAGTGTAATGTCAATTCAAGTCAGTAATAGCTCTATGCACCCGGATAGGTGAATTTTTAGCATTTACACGATGCTTGTGGGTTCAAATTTACAAAATCATACATAATGAAATTGACAGCAGTAGATTGATGGACGGATGACAAATAGCTTCGTTCCGGTTGGTGGGACTCTTCAGCACTACATCTCTATTCTTTGTTTCTAGTGGTGTGGCCAACCTTCGACTGGAGTAAACACGACTTAGGAAAATTGACGTGACAGTAATAATAATTATTATTATTTTGAGTCAAGTGAGTCCTGTCGTTCTGTGTAACGCTAGTGCACTGAATGCATATATACAACTCCCATCAAGTCGAGTCTTTGTTTGGATGAGTTAGTCAGGATTGCCTACTGCTGAACGACAAAATTGGGGGTAAGCTTGTAACGTAAGATGTGCAGTGCGACCAAGTGTACACTGCGACAGTTAAAATTGTGTGTAATGGGTAGGATATAACGTCGTCTTACAGTTTACGGGAAGGAGAGGCCATGAGCAACAACAACAAAAACAAATTCTTCACGAGTAGGGACGGAAATGAGTCATTCTCGAAATACATGAAACCCATGGCAGGATTAAATTCAAAGACTTGGGAGACGAAAAGGCTGACAATGTACAACATATTTGAAATAAGATTTGTGCTACGGATAATTGATAATACAAGCAAAGTATTTCTACTGGCAAAGGTAACGAATTAGTTTAGTTTATCTAAATCATATATATATATATAACTTAGCTGTCGGTATTTTCTTTACTTCGTTTTCGGAGAAATAAGAGTGACAGAGAAATCAGAGACCACCGCTAATGGAGTTTTTGGTCTTCACCATATGTAGCCGTTAAAGACAGTAAAAAGAGAGTCAGTTATTCCGTTTTGTTATCAATGGCTTTGGTGTATTCTACACGGACTGCATTTTTGTTTGATAAAGTTCACACTTTTGCCCCCTGGTAAGCCGTTTTTCATGTCAAACGATATGACAATCGGGTGCACGAATCACGCTGGTTCAGCTTGGATTGGATTGGCGAGGGAGAGAGAAGGGTCTGTTTGTGATACTTATCCCTCAAGTTCGGATCGTGGCCAAGATGTCGGATAACAATCAGTTGTCCATCGGTCATTGCGTGTGCATGAACCACGGCTTGGACAATCCAGATGGTACAGTTCGGGAGGGGGTTCGACAGGGAAGAGGCGGGGAGGGGGGCTCAGAGAGGGACCATTTGTCAATAGGCATTCGGGTAACCGGAGGCGATTCAATTTGTCGTAAGAACGCTTCCAGATAAACGCAGACAGGTTTCGCTGTGGTAGGGGCCGATAGGAGGAAGATAGCAGAGGGAGAGCGGGAACGATTGTGTGTGTGGGGGGGGGGGGGCGGCGAACAGAGAGAGAGATTCCTTTGGACATACAGAAACTGATCCGACCCATTTGTCAACTTAGAAAGTATAAACCAAAGCTTTGTACTTCCAGCATAGTGCCCAGACCAGAGCACACTGTCCAAAACCGCTTTGAGTGCTATTAGACAATGAGACCCCGTTCACTTGTCCCCGCGCTCGCTTGTTGGGTGCTTATGTCTATTGGTTACATAAATCACTTCCAATCTATGATATCCATAAATTAGAAAGTTTGCTAATGTTACTAACATTGTTTGGTCTGCCTCCCTTGTTTCTTTTTCTTTGACTTGAAATCGTTGTGGGCATTGATACAGCCTCGGAAATAGTTGTATCCGTTGAAGTTTTCTCAAACACTAGTTGACAGTTTTGAAAGATAGGAAATCATCTTTAATCACGGGGAGTTTTACTAACACAACAACAACAACAACAATAACAACGTCAACAATGCGGAGTGGAATATTCGGTTGTTTTCTTTGTCCCATTTAGGCTACTCGCGCGACTAGATGCGAATTGACAATCGGTCTAACCACAGATAGATTAATATTGTTTAGCTTTTCATTATTTACTTATTTAAACTAAACTGATTCAGGGTTGTTCACCAAAACGATCAAATTTGCTTTGTGTGGCTAAGCTCACGATTTCCGGTTTTGATAATTTTCGATGATTTTGTTTAGCTTTTCGATTGGGGTTGGGATGAGGGTGAAAATCATATTTTTTCGGCTCATTTTTCACTTCGGACATTTAATTTATCCAAGGCCGGAGAAGAAAACTAAGTCACCATTTAAGGCAACACTAAGCACGGTTTTTATTGCTTTTTATTCCACACCCTTGTGTGATGAGCAGCATACGGGATAAACCCCTACAGCATCGAAGATCTGCTGTTCAGCGATGGAAACCGGCACCCTAAGCCCCAGGACTTGGAGTGGCGAACCATATAAGGTGTTAGGTGTAGTATTGAACCGGACGACAGCGAATGTTTGGACCACCAAATTTGGTTGGTGGTTTCGGGGTTCAAACCTCGGACTAGAGGTTCCAAAGTGTGCCGATGACAGCGATGGTGTAGTATCGCTCTGCGCAGGAGCAGATCCTTCCGCTATTCCAAGAACTTGATGTGCCACACTTTGTTCAGATCTATGTACCGTTTTTTTTACATGATGACCCCATTGGGGATCGATCAAAAAGCTGTGTAGTTCCACTTCCAACCACAGTCCTCTTGCTCGGATCATGAGGCAGTCTAACACACTCGCACTAGGTACAGACGATCACGCTCTGAATCCGTATACAATCATCATTTCACTAAGTGGATGTTTTAATTATTCACATACTTTCTGATACTGGGTGTCTGATGGAAGTGTCCACATGGGAGCTGCCATAAGTTGGATGCAGACTATTTTCTATCTTACGGTCATTATTGTACCATTCAGCGGTTCTCACGTTCGTCCATGTTTGTTTTGTTTTATTTGTTGATCAGGATGATCCAGCGCGAAACTGGTCGGCGCTTCTTATTTGAGAAGTAGGTGGGCGAATTTCGTGGATTTTTTGTACTATTTTTACTCAGATATAGACTGTGGAACTTGTGAAAATTAGGCTATCGTTAAATATGTGCTACAAAGTATTGTTAATATTAAAAGGTCAACTTTGAACCCGATCCCAGCCGGTGGCGGTCAACGTGACATTGATACCGAGGTCGTCTATTCCATTCTCACCGTCACTGCCTAACTTACCTCCCCTCCGTCAGCCTCCAGACAGCTTGCCTTTAATCAGACCCTTATCCTGAAAATGATCTGAACTATGGCGTATTCAATAGAGGGAAGTAAATAGTTCTTTTTTATTTTATTTTCTAAATTCATAATTCCAATCTCCCAGACGGTTGCGTAAGGCAGAGACAAAACTGTAGTCATCCGAATCAATTAGGCCCAGTCGGGCAGATACTTGGTTGGTCAGGTAATGTCCAATTTAATTTGCCCCAGTTATTTTAATGTGAACTGGTAAATGACCGATTTGTAATGACGCTCTGCCGTCTGGTTGTGATCGAATGAAGGCCGGAGGGAGTGTTTGATTCCTCTTTCTCACTCTCGCAGTCCACAAATGCGTCAACAAAAGTTACACATCGAACGCGCCTAACGCACGCCTTGTTACAAGTAATCCGTTAATTTTCAACCTCTGATTTTGTGGGCTTTCGTCTGTGTTCACTTGTTCACTCTGAACAGATCCGATGAGTGTGATCTGCGTTAAACTATTTTTTCCCATTTTTAGATATATTTCACAGTGTTCCAATCATACTGGCTATCTAATGGCCGTTTGATGGGAACCTTTGATGCCACAGATTGTGA